GCGCAATTTGTTCTAAAAATAGAAAAATTGTCCCATATCATAGGAGCGCGCGAATCCCGAGACTTACGGTCTCCGTCCACGATTATGGCTCCTGCTAAAATTTAATAGCATATTTAGGACTAACGAGAATTCTGTTTTAAAGAACATTAAAGCGTTCGTTACGGCTTGGTCTGCCTGTGACCAGTGCTCTGTGAATAGTATAACTCTAAACAGCTGAAACCGTAACGAGCCGCCAACAACCGTAATGTCACGTACGTAGATCGAATACAAGGTCTGGCCGCGTGTGTTTTCGCCAGCATCTCCACAGAATTGTTTAACGATCTTTAACTACGAGCAGTCTCTTTCTTTCCCTAGCGTGCAACGAGCGGCCATTCCCTCCTCGTTCCTTTCTTTAATTTGCATAATCCCAACGGGCCTAACGGCAGTCCCACAAACAAAATTTTGAACTCCAAAGAAGTACAAAGATCCTGTTTGTGGGCGTGACTTGAAAATTTTTTCAACCATAAGCTATACGAGGTAGTAATTCTAAAACAAGACATTTATATCTCCTGTTTCGGCTCAATACCCTAAAAACAAAAGGTACCGCAAAAGCTCCGGTCCCGCTGTGGACCAGGCTCAACACCTTCAGAGGTACCGAACCGCGTTTTTGTAACCCTAAAAGGTACGACGAGCACCCCCGTCCCAGGGCAATACGTCAGTTGAAAGCTAAGTGAATGTAGATTCCTACGGAAATTATCATTTGGAGGTCAACGATGCACTAACTGAACTGAGTAGCTAACTGGCTGTACAAGTAACTTCACAACGTGGAAGCAGCGTATCCAGGGCAAACACCTGCCTACAAACATGGTACAAAACAAATGCAATATATTTTTCCTGCCAAATTTCCTCTTATGACAGTTTTCTTTGGGTGTGCGTTCCCGTTCCCCATGCTCGTAGCGACGATGGCTGGTTCCACTGGTCACGGCGGGCGGACTAGGACGCCACTTTGGATTTGTCGAATGAAACTTGAAAAATTCCGTCTGAACTTTTGAAGCCAATTTCGACCGAAACGTCGTAACATTTTGTGTCTAAAAATTGTGAAAACTATGAACGATTTGAGTCAGCGTCTCCTCCACCCCCATAAGTTGATGACAGCATCTATCCTCCACTGTACTCCACTGATGCTTGCGATGAATAGTACAGCACAGTACGTGCCTGTTGGTACAGTTTCGTCTGTTATGAAGTCCTCAGAATCATTACAAGAAATCCCGTCTAGTTTAACCCGTTTAGAGAAAGGAAGAATTGTATACGGTTTAGTCAAAAACCTGTAATTGTAATGTATTTAACAATTTTTCACACAGAGAACTATATTATGTGCCAGTTAAATAACGATGGAAAATAAATCACAACGCAATCCAAGTAATACAACGAAGTGTTCATGTTGGAAACGGTAGGATATTACTTTAGCATTTTATAGACAAATAATCTTTTTCTGTTTCTTGCAGTATTTTATCAAGTGGGAACTAACAAATAAACGTCAAGCAAGAAAAGGACAACGTTCAAACGACACACAAATGGCTACCTCTACTGGACAAGCAAACTGAAAACGAGGACAAGGAATACATGTAACAGTCATGCAGGTTTAATTCAGATTATCAAGAAATACCTAGGATGACAGCATTGCGCTAACACTGCAACAAAACCTCCCTTGTGAAATCACTTGTTGTCTCATTTCTGATACAACGTGATGGTTACTCTAGAGGTTTGTTACCTTGAAATCAGTTAAATATGAGGTTCATTTTCATGGATAAAGATGAAGAATGTCACATGGCCAGTTAACAAATTCCGTTCCATACTGCTCTTTTATTAACTACACCATTTTTAATTAGACATTCACACATATTGGAAATGAGAAGAACCAGGTAATATAAAATGTACTCTCGGTGCACTGTAAGAGTTTGAAACTTCTAAACACAAGTAACAATAAAATAAGCACTTTAGTATTATTCCTTTTTGACTGGAAAAGGCTTCTCTAAATGAATAGAACCGCAGTCAGCAATTTTGACTTCCTTGATTGGTCGATCACGGCTATCAGTTTTCGTCTTCTCTATCTTTGTGACAACATCCTAAGAGAAGTGGGACACATGTCAGTCTTACTCAGATTTTTGTACAACTATACAATAGGCATTAATTTGGTCATAGTTAGTAGAGGAGACTAACTATGATTTGGTCCTACTGGTATTCTCTTGTTTATTCCAAGTCAATATGTTCAATTTTAGAAGCAGACTACATAACTCAAATGTCCTGTCAGTCTACTCTATGGTCACTTTCCCAATGGGGGCACTTTTTAGAAGCGGGACACTTATTAATAAAAAAAGTTAAATGTTTAAAAATGTTTGTTTATGATGGTCAAAATTGTGCCTAGCCACACCTAGCTAATTCACAGGCATGCCACTTAAACTGAAAGAAACAAATATTTGAAATAAACATTATAAATATATACTAGGCTTAAAAATCCCAACTGGTGGGAGGCAGACCAGTTGGCTTTTTACAAGCATGACCGAGGAGTTGAACTAGGGTCTAGCGAGAAATAACTCCAGCTTAGTGGTCAGAGAGGGACTTGAGCCTGCAACCTCCAGAAGTCCAGCACCCTAACCACTCGGCCACACTGATTCCATGCAAAATAATAAACAAAACTCAGTTGCAGGGAGGGCACTAAAGCACATCAGAACTGGCAGTACATGTAGTTCTTCTGTATGTCAGATTATGGTAGATAGTTTTGACATAACATACAGTGTAAATGTAACATACCATGCCTTCAAGCACTTTTCCAAATACAACATGTCTGCCATCCAGCCAGGATGTTTTTACAGTTGTAATAAAGAACTGTGAACCATTGGTATCTTTACCAGCATTAGCCATACTCAGCCAGCCAGAGCCATAATGAGACAGTTTAAAATTCTCATCTGGAAAACGCTCACCATAGATGCTTTTACCTTACATGGGCAAATGAAAAATAGCGCAAAGATTTAAATGTTACAATGACAATAACTGAGAGAACATAATTTGCATAATGTTTTTTCTCCTTACATTTTTCATTTCTCTAAATACACACTATTATTAAAATTGTAATAAGTTCAGTCTTACCTCCAGTTCCATCCCTGTTTGTGAAGTCACCACCTTGATATCAAGGAAAGAATAATTGGTTTCATAATTTTAAGTGACTAACTAATACTTTATTGATTAAAGTATGAATACTTAAATAAGGACTTCACAGTGTACCTTGAATCATAAACCCTTCAATGACACGGTGGAAAATGCTCCCCTTGTATCCAAAGCCTTTCTGTGTAAGGAAGATGAAAAATTTGATAAATGCTAGCATTACCATTGGCATACACCTTTGACTACAACTCAGTTCTTGTTATATATGTATATTATATTATCCAACTGCAATCAGTGTACATTATGTTGGCACTCTAAATATTAGTTTCACTAGGGCATAATATTAAGTATAAGCATTATAAGCCAACATGTGCAGATGCAGCAAGATGCAAACAACAACAACAAGCCACAGTCACAGTCCACATAGAGATATTTGTAGAGGGGGCCATAAATATAAATATATAAAAGCCATACACTGTATATCGTTGAAATGTATATAATTGTGGAAATCCTCAAGATTAACATTATTTCCATGAACAAAACGATGACAAAAGAATCAAAGCAAACAAAGACGAAGACTTTCGTTTTTGTGGTGGCTCTGAAAAGAGCTGTTTTGAATGGCTCCACAAAGAGCCATTTCAAAATTTTTCTTGAACTTTTCATACAAGGAAGAATTAACTGTTTCTTTTATAAGTTTCTCATTTTACTAGGCTGTCAATCAAGGTAAATAGAGTATGCAAGGTTTCAAAATAAGTATCAATTTTAGTTTATTCAATTTTCACTGCGATTATATAACAAAGAAAAAAAAATCATAAACGATATTACAAAATAATAATAATATTAATAATAATTGTAATAACCACATTAATAAAGGATCTGCAATCCGATCTAAAGGATAATCCAAATCTTAGAATGATACAGTTTCATTAAACCTAAGAATTGTGAACGTTTTTGTTTTTACTGCAATTTGGGTCTGTTGGAACAATGAGGTTACTGCCCCCCCCCCCCCCTCCAAGTCTGAAGGCGTCTGTACACCTATGAGTTTAGGTCAGTACACACACACACAAACAAACAAATACACATAACGCAGAAGATATGCGCACACTGAGCACTAAATAAACACTATACTAGAATGGCAATTACCATAAAATAAATAGGAGGAATGTGGTGCACCACAATATGGAATCTATCAGTTTTTATATAATTTTAAGAAACAAAAACAAACATTAATGAAGTCATCTATAGATACCTCTGTCTTCCTATTGATTATAAGTAAGAACCAACCAAAATGCGAGAATAATTTCACTTATTGTATAAAATACAGTTGAACATCATATAACTGACGACTCAAAATGTCAAGCATATGAGCTCACTTATGAGAGGTGGCTGCTGATGAGAGTCCAGATCAGACAGCTCTAAATTTTCAACCATAGTCTGAAGTTGTTTTAGAGGCTTAATCTACATGCAGTAAATCATAAGCCCCTCAATATTTAGCAATTCAAAGAGATTTCAGTGTGTTCCAATCCAGTTTCCAAGTTACAGTACTAGCAGTGTAAGCATGACCCATTAGGCCCATAGAAATATTGCATATGAGAAATAATATATAGATTTAGCAAAGCCTAAAAGCAGAGCTAAGTTAACTTGGCTTGAGCCTGCAATCCATGCTGTGAGTCGTACGTACGTGCCCACAAGTAATACCACTAGCCATGACCAGATAACCACGAGAAAATCAATTCATGGGTTTTATTTGCTTTCCTATATGAGTATGGTCCTCTGCTTGGCAGTCATTTGGGGTGCTGAGCAGCTCTGCTAATATGCTCTAATGAAAGAACAAACTTTCACTGAACATTGATCAGGGTTCACCCAATTCTAGGCTTGATTTCCACCACTCTCTCGTGTCCAAGAAGAGACAGCTGGATGTGTCAGTGGCAAACTATGTCTGTGAAGTAAGTTCATAATCTAATTCATGTGGGGCTCCTTTCCTGAACAGTGGCTGGTAATGGAGGCTAACCCAATTCATGCCCATAGTGGGGTCGCATAGGATGGAGTACTTGCTTAAAAGGGGACAACTAGACAAAATGATAAGAAATTTCAACTATCAGCCCTAGAAGTGGCTGCAGTTGCCTACCGGTGGTGGTCTCCTATGAGAAGTTACAAAAGTAATGAATTTATTAAGGCAAAATTTGGGGGCAAATTTTTGGAAAAAGGATCACTTAAGGACTGTGCCTACTTTTGTTAGTGCACACAGGTTCTGCACATCATGCAAGGCATGGTTTAAGCGCCACCCACGCGTTGGGGTCGACATTGATGTCCGGTCATTTACGCTGGTAACGAAAAAGTCTAAAGTTTCAAGTTTTAAATATTTAAAGGTTCAATATTATTGGCGTTTGTGAAAAAGGAGGGAAAAAAGGCAGATACTTAACTACCCAACCAAGAACTTTTAACAAATGACTCGTAATACTCATAAAATTTCAGGCTATCGTTGCAAATTTTCGCACAAATGTGATACTGATTTTGCTGTACCATGCATTCCACTTTTCCTGCTTTGAGATCGATGCTCATGTACAATAAATGCTTTGAAAATTTACTTGTTTCATATTTAAACATCATGTGAAGGGGGGAGGGGCACTTTTATAGCGATAAGATGTAATCGATGTTTTTCCAACTAAAAATGGGATATGTCCAGACAATTTGACCGGCACCAGCCGGGAAACTACTCGAAGCCCTGAATCAACTACACTACCAACTACACGAATAAAATGAAAGCAAAATTTTCCTACTGTGACCAAATCAAGTTAAATGAACCTGTACTTAAACCAGGAATACCGGAATAGCAGCATATTGCTAACCACTAACTGGTAATGTCTTCCAGCTGAAAAACTAGCTGTTATCTGTCGAGAATTATACTGAAATCCAACTGTAAACATGTACCTGCAGATGGCATAGTGTGTGCGCAAAACAAGTGTGAGATACGCAAATGTTTTACTTACTGGGGAGGTGACAGGAAAAAATGTAACGGGCACTGTAAAAGTTTTCAAAAAAGATCAATGACTTAAAAAAACACATGGTTACCCCTACATTTTATGTTATGAAATGGAAGTGGCAAGCCTATTCAACCCGTGATTAGTTTCTGGTTGTGAGCAAAAGGTATTTAGACTGTATTTTAGCTGAACCAGAGGAAGGCTGTCAGAGATTCTAAAAGTGCTGTTGCAACAATTTTGTTATTAAAAACATACCAAAACTGGTTTTTATGTTACCATTTACCATGCAGTTTTAAGATCTTTATAAATGTGTTCACTTTTCTGTATGTAAAAAGGCAAATTCAAAGGAAATCTGTGAAGAAATATCCTTTCCTTCTTTTTTCAGAAAAATGCTGATGTCGGTATTTTTGTTGAGATTCAAGGCTAATTATCTAGAAAAAATGCATGGCAACCACAATTTTTCTTTGTGGATTCTAATAGGCCTTGCAAAGATCTACTTTTTCTGCATGGTCCTAACCTGGTGCAAAAACATTTGTATTTTGTAGGGACCATCTTAAACACAGGGGTTGATTGGCTACCAGTACTCCCTTCCAAAGAAGTTTTTTACACACAAGGCTCGTCAATTAGCAGTTAATTCAATAACTTTTTTTTTCAAATTTGAGAATGGTACGTTCACAGGAAAGTGGGCAAATAAAGTCCTAAGGCTTGTAAAATTAGCAATTATCTGCAAATACATGTACGAGGGCATATGTTGACAAAACGCTGGGTCTCTATGTCCGGAAGCTGGGCAGGTTTTTCAAAATACTCCGTGTCCGGCAGTCAAAATTATTTTTTTTAACAATTTCAGTTAATAATGTCAAATCCTTGTTTAAGTGGCTCGGTTGTCAGCGCTAAAAAGGGATGTACGTGTAACTGAACAAAAGCTAAACAGGAACGACGTGAATAACTACACTATTGGCAACTCTCAACTTTATAGTGAGGGTCATTTAAGTTTTAAAATCTACACTATTAGTAAAGAAGATTGAATCTAAAGTGATTTTAAACATGCCAAACTTGCAGAAACAACGTATATACAAATTTAAGTATGTTCATATTTGTTCAAACTGCCTTTTGCAGTAATCCAATCTTACCTCGTGCGTTGCAAGGTCGTAAAAATTCTTCGCAGTCTTTGGAACGGTAGTCCCGAATAATCCAATGACGACCCTGCCAGCTTTCTCACCACCGATCTCTACATCAAAGAACACCTTTTCGGTAACGTCGACAGTGTCTCCACTATTGGCTTTAACGCCGAAACACGCGCAGGCCATCACCACTAAATACAACAACGAAGACATATTGATTTGTGAATAAGGCACCAGAAAACTCAGCTAGAGGATTTCGCGTTTTGAATACGGGGAATAGGACAGTATAGGTGGCGTGGACCAATGATTTTCCAGAATAATTGAGAACCAATGGTATGTGGACAACTGTTCAACTTCAGAGCGGTGAAATTAGGGAGGAGCTGGTAACTAGTCAATACCAAACATTCATCTGTTGCATTCATCACGGTCAATCACAGTCAGACTCTGTTTTTCATTTGTGACCACTCATGAAGTATTTACCCTGAGTCGGCCACCTGAGTCTGCACATAAAAAGCATCCTTGACTAATACCAAGAAAACCTTTTAGAAACCCTCTATTATTGTCTGAGAAGATCGAATCACGTTCCCAGAGTCCTCGTTACAAGGGTAACGAGGGCTCTGGGAATGACATTGGAGAAGATTGTGAGCCAAAGTGACTTCCGGTTGAAGTCGAACCCGCGCAAAGGATCATTCCTTCTGGTAGTATAAGGACGTGTCTTTATCTGTTACTGAGACTGATTGAATGTCTTTTCGAGCTCGCAAGATAATGAAAATTACCTTAGTTATTGCTTTTGCTATTTGCGCCTTGGTTTTCCTTCTTCTACCCGACGATTCTCAAGCTGGAAAAACGAAGAAAGGTCCTTTAGTTACGGAAAAGGTTGGTTTATTACAAAGCTCATTCCATATTTGATGTTTCTAAGAAGCGCTTGTTCATTGATCAGTTGGTGTAGGAAGCTTATAGCGGTAGGCCTTCTTAGTTTTTCTTCCTTAAAGTTTATTTGTAGTTGATTTGATAGATTC